AATACAATAAAAATTAACAAAATTATGTAAAAACACCTTTTGCAAACTTCCTTCCTAAAATTCACAAACTGGAGAGTGAAATTTTACAAAACATTAAAAACGAAAACAATCAAATAACAACTAGAAATGTCCCGGGTTGACCAATTATATCACAGTGTTATAGACCCCTTGAAAGAATGGGAAGATATTAAGATTATTTCTCACTTCTCTTAATGAAAAACATAAAAAAAATGTACATTTCTGACACAGGTGACTTAGTCAGAAATATTGAAAACTACATTTGATAATAATGTACTACTTGTTACATATGATATAACATTACTATATACCAATTACAAAAAGCGCATGATAAACATGAATAAATTGAATATCCTATGATAAAACCTAACAAAAAAATTCTGGTTGAAATAACAAAAACTCATCCTTTCCAATAATGAATCTACCTTTCATCATGATCACGAAAATTCATATCGACAAATTATTGGAGCATTAATGGGAGCCACAGCTTCCTCTGAAATATGTGACATTGCTATTTCCAATCACATAAACAATCCTTGAAGACTCTCTTATTTCTGAAAAATAATATGTTTCATTAAAGAATGAGAGATGACGGACTACTGGTTGTAAAAGCAAAAGTGTCTGAAATTGATTTCCTGTTTGAAAATGCAAATAAACAACACGACTTGCTAAAGTTTACTTATAAATACAATAATCATTCCATAGAATTTCTAGACCTTGAAATCTTCAAAGGTGAATGCTTCAAAAATACTTTTGTTTTAGACCTGAAATACTTTACAAAGAATACCGAAAAATTCTAATCTATTCATAAAAACTGAAACCACCCCAATTCAAACTGCAAATGCTTTATTAAAGGCGTAGGTAAATGTATACTTAGAAACACCAACACTGAAAGTGAATTTTAATCCAGAAAAAAACCTTATTTGTTGCAAAACTATTAATTAGAGGATATAACTGAAATTGGTAAAACAAATTCTATCAAAAATCAAATTCCAAGACAGACAATACAAATTAAAGAAAAAGAACAAAGTTTAAAATAGATGTTATGTATCATTCATTATATATTATCATCCTCAAGCAGAAAAACGTCAAAAAAGTATTTAGGAAATACTGACATCTTACTAAAACAGTTTCTACAATAAGTGTCAGATTCCATAAAAACTTATCAAATGGATTCAAAAGAAAAAGAAACATTGATGAATTAGTTAAACCAGCTATAAAATAATATGTATAAACCATACAGTTCCTACTAAATATTAAACTGTGCAGAACTAATCATGTAAACCACACATCTACACTGATATTCATATGAAAAAACGTTCTAACCATCATGACCATGGAACACTTAATCAACATTGATTGAAATAGTTTGAAAAACAAAAAAAATCAAAATTCAAATATAAATTAACAAATTAAAAATAATAATAAAAAGAAAGTATTTAAAAAAATTTAAACAGTAAGAAAAAGGAAATAAATGGAAATAAAAACAAAAGGGGTGGTCTCTGATGAAGGTTTCCCTAGAAAAAACCAGAAACACTGCGTACAGAACACAATATCAATGTAAGGCCAGAGATATGGTTCGCTCCAAAATGGGTGGCTATTGGATCAATTTCTATGAAAGTATATTAAATAGGTACAATTAAACAGTTGGAGAAAAATTGATGTTACAGGATGGTAGGTGGGAGAATGGGGGTCAGAAGTGGGAGACTGGGAGGTGGAAGACTGGGGTGTGGGAGGTAAGGAAGAATACCCCCTGTCCACCCCCTCTACTCTGTATGTGATTTCGCCTTCCAGTTGTTTTGATTTGAGGATCACCTAGGAGTCTAATGTAGACGAAACCAGCGTCTGACGTAAAATATTATTAGCTTGGTATCTTTGTTAAAATTCCTCTTATCATTATTGAAATATGATCTAAATATTTATCCGTATATCCACGTGTCAAAATCTAAAATGTGCTTATATAGCATAGACGAGTAACCAATACTATAAAGGGCAATAACACCTTAAGAGGTCAATTGACAATTTTGTTCATTTGACTTATTTGTAGATCTTACTTTGCTGAACATTATTGCTGTTTACAGTTTATCTCTATCTATAATAATATTCAAGATAATAACCCCAAAACTGCTAAATTTCCTTAAAATTACTTCTTCAGGGGCAGCAACCCAACAACAGGTTGTCTGATTCGTCTGAAAATTTCAGAGCAGATAGATCTAAACCTGGTGAACATTTTTACCCCGTCGTATATGCTCCAAATGCTTTAGTTTCAGAGATATAAGCCAAAAACTGCATTTCACCCCTATGTTCTATTTTAGCCATGTTGGCTATGTTAATTGGCAGGCGGGGTCATCGGACACATTTGTAATGACTAGTTACCTTAATAATGATTGTGGCCAAGTTCGGTCGAATTTGTCTATGTAGTATCAGAGGAGAAGATTTTTGTAAAAGATTACAAAAATTTACGAAAAATTAAAATCAACAGTAGTATACCTGTGTTCAAAAGTCATAATCTATTGAGGGAAAATATATCCGGGTTACAAACCAAAACCGAGGAAACACATCAACTATAAGATGAAAACAAAGGAACAACAGGAACACTGATGTGCAACAAAAACAAACGCCAACACACTAAAAAACGAACTATTTGATAACAACTGCCATATTCCTGACTTGGTACAGGACATTTTAAGAAAAATAAGTGGGTTGAACCTGGTTTCATGGCATGCCAAACCTCCCGCTTTATGACAATGTTAAAAAATATCGATAAAACACTACATGACAGAAATACGGCACAAACACACGCAAAAACATTCTTTACAGAGAAACGCACAAACAAACAATATAATAGTCAACACAAAATTGACTATAAAGGGCAATTACTCCTTAAAGGATCAATTGACAATTTTGGTCATGCTGCTTACAGTTTATCTCTATCTATAATAATATTCAAGATAATAACCAAAAACTGCAAAATTTCCTTAAAATTACTTATTCAGGAGCAGCAACCCAACAACAGTTTGACTGATTCGTCAGAAAATTTCAGGGCAGATAGATCTTAACCTGATGAACATTTTACCTCAATCAGATTTACTCTAAATGCTTCAGTTTCGGAGATAAAAGCCAAAAACTGCATTATACCCCTATGTTCTATTTTTAGCCATGGAGGGCACGTTAGTTCATGTAGTTGGCAGGCGCTGTCGTCGGAAACATGTTTTAGACTAGATACCCCAATAATGATTGTGGCCAAGTTTGGTTAAATTTGTTTATGTCGTTTCAGAGGAGAAGATTTTTGTAAAACTTGACGGACGACGACGACGGACTACGGACGCCAAGTGATGAGAAAAGCTCACTTGGCCATTTCTTTTAGAGGTCGTTATTTCAGCAAATTCAAACTACGTATTTGATTTATTTTCCTTGGCATGAACAGAAAACATGACATATAAAATGCGATAGAATGCATTCTTTCTTGAGCTTTTACTAACCATTATTATTAGATAGAGTTCATTCAATTTGGAAAATCTACCAAATTGGCAAACATTATTTTTTTGAGGAATTGAACAAATTAAGGTAAACCTGCAAACTTTGCCATGCACCTTTCAATAACACATGAGTAGTAGAAGTTGGCATAATCAGCTGATTTTGGGATATGCATCTTACAGCCAAAAGATAGGACATGTAAAGTGGCATTCGGTATACTAGCATTTTTAGATGACTTTGCAGGAAATTTGATCTGAATTAATTGGAGTCAAGTTTTTTTGTTAGAGGTGTTTATGCCATTTAAGATACGCCAATGACGAACACGCTAGTCACAGTATCAAAGAGTACACTGAATGAACTACAATTCACTCATCAGTAATATAACATCATATAACCCTTTCCAGAAACTCTCAAAATATAATTTGAAGCAGGTTATTTCTCTTACCGAGAATTAGAACAGCGTCAAGGTCAACGATTAGTGGTTTTGAATCTCTGTTGATTTTGATATGATATTTGGTTTATCTAAATATAGAAATTGTTAATGGTCATTTGACTTCAACATTCTTGTAATCGGACTCGATTTTTAAGCAAGAAATGTTTGTAAATTTTAATAACATTTTATTTTCTATTAACTTCTCTTCGTTTTTCAGCACTTATTGACCATTAGTGTATTAGTGTACTTCCAAACAAAGGAAATACTTTTAATTGATTCGGGCTTTTGGAATTTTTGGAGTTCATAGAAAGTGCCATAATACGGCAGAGGTCGTCATTGGTTTCTCACATGAATTTACATACAAAGCTACGTGTATTCGCTATGTTTCATATAAGTTAACGAATAATTTTCCACTCAAACAAAGCTTTGCAACACTTCCATTAAGATATATGGAGGCTAAATTTAAAAACACTTATCTTTGTAGAAAATGCCCAAAGTGGTCAGAAATTAACATCATTCCTATTTTAAATTGCCCCTCTAAATATTGTTTTCTCTAATTTATGTAATCAATTATGCCATCAGATTTACATAGTCCATGAATGCATCTTTTTCACTAGACAAAAACAAATGTTAAAATTGTTACTTTCCATTTTGACCACTTCCCTCACAGTTTGCGATTTCTATAGCTCTCAGAAATTTGACCAACATATTTGAAGTACTTTGAGCATACAGACGATTAACGATTAAGAAAAAAACAAACTTGAAATATAAATCGACATTATATTTTCACGTGATTTTTCACAGTTTCAACACTCGAAAGTTGCAAATATCAGTCTCTCGTGATGGTTCTTTGCAGTAACCAGGTGTACAGTTATGTTTTATGTGGTAATATTATTTTACTTTTGCTTTGGCACTGATTTAGTTTCCTGAATGCCTTCTTGGTATATCAATTCTTTTCTGAGCTGCAGAAATGGCGCGAAAAGATGTTTGAATAAAAATTTTAAATCTTGCAGTTTTTCACGCTATAAAAACAGTTGATCTTTCAGTTGGTAGAAATAATTTAACAGTTTACCTGAATAATGTTGTTGTCCGAGAGTAAATAGGTCTCCGATCGACTTTAAAAGAATAAACATATTCACTTAGAAATTAAAGAAAATGATAACTTCAGGTAGAAGGAAGGTGGTTTTATTTGTACTCCGCTTAGTTCCTTATTGTATTTACTTCAGCGATCAGCAGTTGCTAACTCATTTTTATTGTCAATCATTAGTATTACGTTTATTATAATGTAATTAATTATGTTAACCGTTTTGAATGTTGTCTTTGATTATATGCTCTGTAGGAAACGCTATAATGTTGGTGGGACACGTATTTCAACGGTTTTGATTTTACCCAGATCACGTGGGTGAGACACGAATTTCTTATTGTTTTATGTTTGTTTACTACAGAGCATGTAGATGGGACACGTACACGTATTCCTACTCATTTGTGATATCAGAGCACTTGAGTGGGACATGTATTCTTACTGGGTTGTATACCTCAGAGTTTTTGCACGACATACAAATTTCTTATGGTTCGGAAACTACAGAGTAAGGTTTAACTACAATATAAAACGTTGATGAGATGCGAATTTAGTGTCTGGTAACAACATAGCAAAGGGACACCGAAAAATAGATCGAATAATCTTTATGAATATAAGAAACATCTGTAGGAATGCAATATAGAAATGGTTAAAGAACATGTGTAGAAACGAAATTCTAATGATTTTAAGTCGAGCTGGGTCAGACCAAGCACTTTACAATTACAAAAATGCTGCTCCAATGACTTAACTTGAATAAAGGACAAATATAAGTTGGTCTTGAGTCAAATAAATGTGTCCAGATTAAGTTAACATCTCGTAGATAATAATTGAACAGTGTGTTGGTCTCCGTGTTGAAGGCCGTACGTTGACCTATAATGGTTTTCTTTTATAAGTTTTGACTTGGATGGAGAGTTGTCTCATTGGCACTCACACCACATCTTCTTATATCTATTTAGTTTTTCTTTACTTTCAGTATGATGTTCTGTTGCTAAACGTTTGAGAGGTATATTATAATAAACAAGAGAACTCGTACTCACCGTGAACAGCTTGAAGGCGCACAGTGGTCTAGTAGTTGGATTATATTTCTGACAGAGAATTTACACGTTTATCCAACATGATTTCACCATTATCTATAATTTTAGATATATACAGCTCTGTACATGTTACTATCATTATAAATGTGTTAAATCCTACACTGTTATTTGACTCGGAAGAACGCGAAATAAAATTACCATTTCACGATGAACGAACATTTTAAAATTTCATGAATGTTAATTTTTTACCGATTTCACGAAACACGGTGAATAACGAATTTTTTTCACGGTTGCACGTGAAATAAAAATGGCTAAACACGTTGCACGAAAATAACCTTTTACCACCCTCTATAATCATATTCAATTCAATTTCTTTTAATCTTTCATGATTCAAAGAGCTTAAACTATGCGAATCAAAAGTATAGTTAATTATGTTCGTGCATACAATTCTTTTAATATATAATTCGATAACAATGATTCAATGTTTATCTGAAAAAGTCACCTCGAAAAGCGCTCCAAAATTTTTTTCTAAACATTTCTAAACTTTTACTTTTTTAAAGACTATATGATGGCCTGTAATTGTTTACAGTCATGTCTTATGGTCCTAATTGGATAGTCATCTCATTGGAAATCATATACTGTATATTCTTATTGAAATATAATGGTAAAGCAATGTGAGTTTAGACATCTATGTACAAGAATGTTAACAACCAGTTTTAAATTAATAGTTCATTTACTTTTGTTAAAGATGTTCGCTCCTCTTTTTCAAAATAACAAGCTTTTTAAAAGAAAGTGATAGCATATGAATAAATGAAAGGGTCGTGCTCTTGCTTCTTGAAGTATAATCGATTGAAAATTTGATGGGGAATGATTCTCTCTAGAGTTTTCATACATTTAACATTGGCACCTTTTTTCAAAAGCTATGAAAATTAACAAGGATTTTATAAGATTTTCAAAAATGGCTATTTTAATTATATGTTATAAAACTATGAAAATAAATTTAGGGGTTAACGGACATTTTTTTTAAACTAGAGGATTCTGAATATCTGACAAAGAGTAAAAAAGCACTCTAAGGAAGGTAATAAAAATACTGCTGATTAAAAGTTATAATAAAAAGTAATTCATTCCACTATATGACATTCCTTTTCATCATGAAATGGTTCAACGTTCCCATGAGGCAGACAGTTATGTTTTACTACCAAATTATGTTATATAGATACAATGGATAAGCGTGGATTCTTGAAAAAGAAACCATGAGCCCGGAGGGCGAATGGTTTGTTTTTCATGAATCTACGCTTATCCATTGTATCTATAACTTAAACTATTGTGTAAATTTCTTTTCAAAAATTAAAGCCTTTTCTTAATTAGAAGGTATTGTAAGTGAGTTTAAATAACCATGTTATCGTGTCCAACGATGCATTGATAAATCTCAGATCACAATCAATTGGTTAACAAAATACAAATATAACACTTCTACCTTTAAAGATCTTTATATTACCAGGCATATGAATATTATTTGTTTATACAAAATAAGACATATTCGAAATTATTTCTAATAAAATTGAAAATGGAAATGGGGAACGTGTCAAAGAGACAACAACCCGACCAAAAAGCATATATAAAGTATAAATAATAAGTATGTTATCGAAATTTTTCATCACGATTTTCTCGCATAGGAATTTGCGAACAAACCATTGTAAAATTATATAGTAAAACAGATGAAATCATACTTAATTTATAAAACAAAAATTGACAAATAGAATGTAATCATTTTTGTTTCAAACATGTGAATTAGCCAATAATAATAAAAACAAAAACCGGTATTATTACAAAAATATCCACTATAACATGAAAAATTAGAAAAACAACAGGATAACTTAAGAACTAGAACAACAGAGAGAATACAGGGATTCGAACCTAAACCGACAAATCCCTATCTTTAACTCATTGATTTTAACCATGCTAACCTCGCGGCTACCAACTCATACTATACGACTGCCTATTGTGTCTATATAAAGGTACAAGCCCTGTGTGTCCGATGAACTGATGTATATCAGATGTTCATTTAAATATATAAAATAGACACTTATAGCGTAACCCATTGGTAGCCGAGAGGTTTCGTCGATGTGTTGATGTCAGTCACACTTAACAGATTTCAAGGAAGGGTTCGATTCCCAGTAAAGGCATATAAAAATTACAAAAATTAAAGGTAAGTTTTTAAATTAATTCCATTAGTGAACAGAAATCAGTAAATTAACAAATTCAAACTTAATGAAATTAGGCACACAAAGGAAACAATTGAATATAATTTGGTGAGTCAATTTCAGCGGCAGATTTAGGAAGCGTTGATTCTAGAAAAAGAATCCACGGTAAATGAATAGGCTGACGTCACCACAATGGTTTAACTATAAAGATCAGTATAAATATTTCGCTTACTTCGGATAATTTTCCAATTAACATCATTACGAACATCCTGTCCTGACATGTGTTAAAAATACATTATTATGAAAGAATATTGTAAACTAATGTTCAAAAAACAAGATTCTTTACTGCAGTCAATTTCCATGTTAACATGGCTTCTTACAAATGATTGTTGAAATAACTTTTAATATATCACAAACATCTAACAAGTGAAACTATGTACATGTTTATTACAACATTATCTATAGCGATCAGTATAGATATGCTTCAGTACATGTTTATAACTCTTCCATTTATCTTCATAACAAGCATTATCCGTTGATATTTGACTCAAAATACATTTGAAAAGGGCAAATCAACTACTACTTTGAATGGTCATGAAATAAATACTTGAATAAGTCAACAAATATAGGATCTACTTTGAGATGAAAAAAGATTCTCCAAATCCATCTTAGATTGACTAAAGTTTGTTAATTATAGTATTGAAGGTGTCTTTTTTTATATATATTTGTAGTGCTTGTGTTCTTCATTTCCTCATGTATATGCCTATATAGATATAAGAAGATGTGGTATGAGTGCCAATGACACAACTCCCTATCCAAGTCACAATTTGTGGATGTAAACCATTATAGGTCAAAGTACGGCCGTCAACACGGAGCCTTAGCTAACACCGAACAACAAGCAATAAAGGGCCCCCAAAATGACTACTGTAAAACCATTCAAATAGGAAAACCAACGGTCTAATCTATATAAAAACGAGAAACGAGAAACACTTATGAACCACATCAACAAACTACAACCACTGAACATCAGGTTTCTGACTTAGGACAGGTGCAAACAAATGCAGCGGGTTTAAACGTTTTAATAGGCGCCAACCTTCACCCTTCCTGAAACAATAGTGTAACATCACAACATAGAAAGACACACTATGAAATATCAATTGAAATGGCTTAACTCAATCAAAAGACATATTAACAAAAACAAGTGAACATACACTGAACGAATAATTTGATCTATGACACAATGTAAAGACAAAATGCCCATTTTGTCCTGAATAACTAAGTACCATCCTTTCAAACTCTAATAATTGGAAAATGTTAAAATTCCGATGATTTGTGAGTTTGCTTATTCTAAAAAAGTACGCAAGTCCTTTCTACCAACCCGCTTAAGGATGCTCGCTCCTCTTTTTTAAATTTTTTCTAGATTTTCGGAATCAGCTGGTTTTATCCATGTAGTGCCATTAAAAATGTTTGCCAACTAACCCCTACTTTTTTTATACTTTTATAACAAGCACACGGACCCTTCATTTTTTGTTTGCTTGTATAGTTCCTTTATTTATATACTATCAATTTATAACAGTCTCTTTAAAAGCTTGTTATTTTGAAACAGAGTAGCTAACATCCTTAAGTATAAAAGTATGATCACAGGCTCATTTAAACACGAGTATCGAAACGGGTGTTACTACTTGAGCACGATCTGTTTCCCCGTCCCGTGTATATGAATCTATTCCGGAAGTTTTGTTTGAGTCGATACGGCAAAATCTTAATTCTTGTCGTGGCATGTTATGACTGAGTGCTTTTTGTTTGCTTTTCATAAGGTTTGTATTGTATGTCTGTTCTTTCGAGACTGATGATTAAGATTGCCAGTTGGTGTCTTTTTACTTTTACTTTCAACCAGCATACAAAAAATACAACTGTCACCATATTATCTACACTGATAAAAAAAATACAATATTGAAAAATCAATGTGAAGTGTAGTATAATAGACTAGTGTTGCTTTTCATATTGGTCGGTTTGTTACAGGGATTACACCTTTTCTTAGTTAAACTGCAAATGTATAATTTATTTGAGGCTGGTTTCAAGCTAAATTAACTAATAACAATAATATCATGTGTTTAATAAATACGTCTTGAACACCTCACAGATATATGTGTCTTAAAATCAATTTTTGAAAAACATTGAACTAAAAGTCATATGAATTAGTGTTTTAGGGCTTACGAATACAGAAACTAATAGCTGGTGAAAATATGTCTTGACAACATCAAAATATACATGATACACATACCACGATAATTTCGAAAAGGTTCTCACTTTGTTGAATACATATAAAAAAGTTTTATCGGGTGTCTATAATTTCTATTTTATAAAATCAAAATTACGTATGCAATTTAATTATCTCATAAATTAAATTTTAAAGTTCAATTATACACGAACGGAAACAATATTGAAACGGGATTTAACCTCTTAAAACAGATCATGCAGTCAAAATACACTTCGATACTTTAGATTAATAGATTTTATGATATTTACGATCATAATTTACCAAGGTGAGACAAACTTTGTGATTTTGTAAGACAAAATATCTGTGTATACATTGCAAACCGATTCAGATAACTGCTGAAGCTGCTTTAATTTTAAACGTTTGATGTAATTAACGTTAGGAGAAAGCAAAGTACTTCATGACTAACGATGACTAAACATCACATTAATTTTTTTTTTTATTTTAACTTAAAGTAATAGTTATATTATTTGAGATCAGTCTCGACTAGAACATGTAGAATGTAAAGAGTAATTCATCTCCACTTTTAAGAATCCGTTTCGTCTGTCACTGTACTAAACCATGCATTGCATAGTTTCAAAGGTAAAGAATAAAATATTAAATAATAATATTCTATTGCATCAATTTAGTGCGAATGTGCGAGGAAATTTAAGCTCTAGAAAGGGTCCAAATGACAGCAAATATCGAAGCAAAATATTCCGGTTCTTGCTATTACATCAGTTTTTGGCTCTCATTCATGCATTTTTTTTGTAAGAAAACGAATAAATTGTTATTAAGATGGCATTGTTATAAACTGAATCTTATATTGGCGTTTATAACTATATGTTCATAAGTATAAATATTGATAACCCCTTCCGGTTTTCTAATTTTTTATTTCTATCAGTTCACATAGTGTGTGTGATAAAATAGGTAATGCTACTCCTATCTGTCATACCATGTACCGGATGTAATATGGTTTATATGTGTAAAAAGTAAAATAACAAAAATACCGAACTCCGAGGAAAATTCTAAACGGAAAGTCCCTAAACAAATGGCAAAATCAAAAGCTAAAACACATCAAACGAATGGATATCAACTGTCATATTCCTGACTTGGTACAGGCATTTTCTTATGTAGAAAATGGTGGATTAAACCAGGTTTAAGTGAGTATCATTATAATACTCATCACTTGTAATATTTTTATATATGTATAAACTGTATGTATATTCTAAACAAAGACTCTGTCAAAAATGATAAAACGTATTATAGTCATAATTTGTTCAACAGTTTCTTTAGCACAAATAACGTTTACAAAACACGTTCTTGAAAAGGAGTGAACATACAAGAGGCTTATTAGGTGAGCCTTTACAAAAGATACAACTATCGTGGTATCAACATTCTTACACTTAAAAAAGAGAACTATATTTGGCAAATAAGACCAACCGACATATCAACCTTTTAATTAGATGTCTTTTGATCAATCAAGTTGATTAAAATCTGATCCACACAACTTGCCTGAATCTAGTTACTTAAATCCTGTTCCACACAACTTGCCCGAATCTAGTTACTTAAATCCTGATCCACACAACTTGCCCGAATCTAGTTACTTAAATCCTGATCCACACAACTTGTTTGAATCTAGTTACTTAAATCCTGATCCACACAACCTGTTTGAATCTAGTTACTTAAATCCTGATCCACACAACTTGCCCGAATCTAGTTACTTAAATCCTGATCCACACAACTTGTCCGAATCTAGTTACTCAAATCCTGATCAACACAACTTGTTCTAATCTAGTTACTTAATCAAATTCAAGAGTGTGTATTGGACAGTCATGAAATTGTCTGTGATAAATGCTATAAAACGGTCTAATATTGAATGTTTTAATATTTGTTCATCCATTAATTAAGGAGTGACAATAACATTTTTCTGTCTATGAAGGTAAATTTGTGACATTAGATTTTACACTGACAAAAATTAAGGCAGCTAGATATGTTCTAAATAATTATAAAAACAGAACAGGTGGAGTTTCAAACATGAAAGCTTTCTCACAATCGGATAACTTATAAAGTAAAAGATCTTAACTATCTTATATTAAATTACCTGAGGGTTGGTAGAAATTCAAAAAGACAATCTAGATCAATCTGATAGGCGCACTCGTTGCAAACATAGATTAAAACAATTTCAACTAATTGATACTTTTTTTTTAAATTCTGTTTTTCCTAACACGATCACGCACTGAAATTCTCTTTCCGAATCGATAGGCATGTCTCAAACCCTAGATTCCTTTCAAAAGTGGAAATTACATTTATAGATGTAGTTAGTTTAGGTTTAGGAATTTTAATAAGATGTTCGGACTCCTTGGGGTTTTTCCTACAATACAGTGAGAACTATTTTACCCCATATCGCCCACTTTTCTTTTCATAGAAGACTTCAATAAAGAAAAATAATTTTACTTTAATTTAACGAATAACTTTTGAACGCTTTAAACATATTTCTTGCTAAAAAAAACTTCTTCTGGCTCTTTTTTATTTAGACTGTATGCTGCCCTCTTTATGTCTTTTAGTTATTGTTTGTCGTGGGTTTGAGGTCTCATTAACACATACCTCGCATTATGTTTTACCACAAACATAGTATCAATATACAAATACAACTATTTAATATTGTCGGATGTAGATATTCCGGAAACAGATGTAATCAAAACAGAAATCAGTATAAATATATTGTTTCCTATTGTAAGTACCAACATAAAGCAATTGCTGTTAATAAATGTTAGTAAATGTATGGTGAACATACCTTCAAATGCTGAAAAATGTTATTAAATGGTTGTTAAACCAGTTCTCGGCTCTGTATACAATTTTGTTATTAATCATAATTATGCAATGTTTTGAGTATAAATCTGTGGTTGTGAAATATGGGTTAAACGGAAGAAGTGTAGTATATGATTGTAAATATAAATGTTAATATGATGAGTCATTTGGTTATTAAGTATGTTACTGTATTATTATAAGTGAACGTTACATTTTGATTGAGCTGACTTCGCTTGTCGGGAAATGAATGCATAACAGGAATCGATTGCCCTGTCGACTCACAGGTCTCGTTCTTTTTGGAGTTCACGTAATCCCCTCAGTTGTTTTTGTTACCCTCCATTAAAGTCTGTAACATGGTCGAAAAAAAGGACGAAAGATACAAGAGGGACAGTCAAACTCATAGATCGAAAACAAATTGTCGACGCCATGGCCAAAAATAAAAAGACAAACAGACAAATAATAGTACAGATGACACAACATAGAAGACTAAGCAACATGAACCCCACCAAAAACTGGGGGTGATCTCAGGTGCTCCGGAAGGGTAAGCAGATCCTGCTTCACACGTGGCACCCGTCGTGTTGCTTATGTTATTACATAAGGAACATATCCTATATCATCTGTGAAACGGTTATTCCATAACTGTCAAACAACTCTTGATGGCGCCCGTAAAATTTACGAAGGAATGATTTCAACTTCCCCATTTGGAAAATGGTAAGTGGTACAATCATATTACTAGTACTTAAAAAATTAAAAAATTAAAAAAAATTATATTCAGTCGGATATACTGAAAATGCTTTCGAATTGAAAGCAAAATAACATATTGTGTTTTAGCTTTTGAAGGTTCAAATTTGTTTTCAAGAAGGTGAAGGTCAATAACGTTTGGTCCCAATACTTCATTTACATGTGAGTCATGATATTGGTTAGGAATCATATATCAAACCCCACGACCGGAAAGAAAAATCAAGAATGAACAATAATTGTTTGACTTATATAAATAATTTTCACATTTACATGTTCATAGAAGAAGTTTAAGTTCAAGGTTGTAACTGAATATCTTTGACTTTGTTGTTTCTTTAATAATAAAGTGAACATTTCTGATCAACTTATGTTCCAAAAGGCTGAACCTGAAAGATTATATATATTGAAACTGACACTTGTCACTTGTCTTTATAATCATTCACTAAACAAACCTATTTTAATAAAGAAAAGCCAATGTCATTGTTAACGAACTTTACTTGTAACAAATACCTTGTTTTAATGAGTTTTCATTTAACGCTACACTGATTATGTGTCAATCATAAAAGATTGATTTTTAAAAGATGAGACGACAGGGAGGTAAACCAATCTAATTTTATACTTCCTCCTGTAAGAAGCATTGAAAAATGAATATTGTTTTGAAATATTGACAGTGAATTCGCACTTTATACATTTCGTGCGTACAAAGCGCATTTATGGATTTGCCTTAACTAGGAAATTTCAAACCTTAAGGATGTTCGCTACTCTGTTTCAAAATAACAAGCTTATTAAAAGACTGATATAAATTGATAGTATATAAATAAAGAAACTAAAACAGCCGAAAAAATGAAGGGTCCGTGTGCTTGTTTTCGAGCTATAAGCAATCGAAAATTTGGCGGGAAATAATTCTCTCTAGATTTTTCATACATTTAACATTGGCACCTTTTATCTTTCAAAAACGATGAAAAAATAACAAGAATTTTATAAGATTTTCAAAGATGACATTTTAAAATATATGTAATCAAATTATGGAAAGAAAAGTAGGGGTTAATGGGCAAAATTTTTTTAATGACACTACATCGATAAAACCAAAAGATTCCGAACATCTGACAAAAATTCAAAAACCCAGGGAGCGAACATCCTTAAAATTCGATTTCAGGGATGAGTAAATGCATAGTAACGTTAGGAGCTTTATAATAAAAAAGGACTTAAAAAGAATAGTTCATTTCCTGAATGGTCTGATTTTCCAAAGGGAGTTGTTTCGTAATAATTTCTTAATTTGTCAATAAGACATTTTAGAATAGTTTGTTATTTATTAGCGTAGTACTGAAGCACCGACTAACTAGCTGATGATATCCTTGGGGATTAACATTCCACCAGCAGGTGTATTGACATTGTAACAGAAAATGGAAATTAATTTTTACAAATATTAGGCTTCCAAAGCGTTTTTTCTGGATATACCTTAATCAAGAACTCGTAAACGTATTATTAGGAATGTGGCAGGAATGTGTAATTATGTAAAAACGTTAGTACCTATATAACTAAGAATGACCTTAAAATAGTAGCTAATTTCTTCAAAGGTCCGATTTTCATGAAGGAATTGGAATGTTTGTTTCTTAATAATTTCTTAATTTATCAACAAAGATTTTTCAAAATAGTATGTGCTAAATCCTCTTAGCACCACATTACTGATTACTGAGATGATATCCTCGGAGACTAACAGTCCACTAGCAGTGGTATCGACCCCCGTGATAGAAATTGAAAAATAACAAATTATAAATGTCATAAATATTGGCCTCCAAAGCATTTTTTGGTAGGATTTTTCTTCATCAGGACAACTGAAACCTAAACATTCGGAAGTCAGGTATGTGAAATTAAATTTATAGAAACACAAGAATCTTTTATTGTGATTAAGATTATAACACAATATTTACTGCGGAACCCCTATTGTTGAGATTTCTACCTATTTTGTCAGTTGTTTTGCTCACTCATTGTTGTCAATATAATTGAATTCTATGCAACTTTTTATACAAGTGAGAGGTAACCTAGCTTTAAAACCAGGTTTAATCAAACATTTTCTACATAAGGAAATGCCGGTACCAAGTCAGGAATATGAGAGTTATTTCAAGTTGTTGGGTATGTTAGAGCTTTTGATTTTGTCATTTGATAATGGACTTTCCGTTTTAAAGTTTGATTGGAGTTCGATATCTTTGTTATTTTTCTTTTTATGACCAAAATGGATCTAAAAATAAAATAAAATTTTATCTAATGTCTGAATTGTCTGAAGGAGGTGGAACTTAGTTTCTTAATAATTTCTCAATTTTACCAAAGCGGAATTTGAAAAATAGAATGTTATAAATCATGTCATGAAAAGGTTTAATCTATCATAAACCATAAAATGAATAGGTTACTGTCATTTATCAATGTCTAAATCGTGTTGACATCTGTAAAACAAAACCTATTCTTTTCCACAATTATGTTTTTGCATCACGTTCATGTTCTCTTCTCGTTTTTTCTTTATTTGTCATTAACTCGAAATGGACTTATCCTAGGCAGTGTTCACCACAAAATTTTTTTGATTTCCAATACTTTTATTCGTAGACAATGGTAGACCACTGTTGGATTTTCAGTACTCATTTTGAAGGACCACTGGTGGATATCTAGTACTTTTTTGTATGGACCACTGTTGGATATCCAGTACTTTTCTTGATGAACCACTGTTGGATTTCAAGTACTTTTCTTCATGGACCACTGTTGGATTTCAATTACTTTTCTTGATTGGCTACTGTTGGATTTCCAGTAATTTTTGTGATGGATAACTGTTGGATTTCCAGTACTTTTCTTGGTGGACCACTGTTGGATTTCCAGTACTTTTCTTGATGGATCACTGTTTGATTTCCAGCATCTTTCATGATTGATCACTGTTGGATTTCCAGTACTTTTCCTGATGGACCACTGTTGGATTTCCAGTACTTTTCTTGATGGACAAATGTTGGATTTCCAGTACTTTTCTTGCTGGATCACTGTTGGATTTCCAGTACTTTTCTTGATAGACCACTGTTGGATTTCAGTACTTTTGTTGATGGACCACTGTTGGATTTCCAGTACTTTTCTTGATGGATCACTGTTGTATTTCCTGTACTTTTGTTGATGGACCACTGTTGGATTTCCAGTACTTTTCTTGATGGACCACTGTTGGATTTCAAGTACTTTTCTTGATGAACCACTTTTGGATTTCCATTACTTTTCTTGATGGTTCACTGTTAGATTGCCAGTACTTTTCTTGATGGACCACTATTGGATTTCAAGTACTTTTCCTGATGGACCACTGTTGGATTTCAGTACTTTTCTTGATGGACTACTCTTGGAATTCAGTACTTTTCTTGATGGACCACAATTTGATTTCCAGTACTTTTCTTTATTCTTGATGGACCACCCTTGAATTTCCTATATTTTCCTAATTTTTTGACACCAACCTTGCATTTCTAGAATTTACTTTTCTTGACGGACCACTAAAGGATTTCCAGTACTTTTCTTGATGGACCACTGTTGGATATCCAGTACTTTTTTGATGGACCACTGTCGGATTTCCAGTATTTTTCTTGATGGATCACTGTTGGATTTCCTGAAATTTTCTTGATGGACCACTGTTGAATCTCCAGTACTTTTCTTGGTAGCCCACTTTTGGATTTCCAGGACTTTTTTTGATGGACCACTGTTGGATATCCAGTTGTTTTTTTGATGGACCACAGTTTGAATTTCAGTACTTTTCTTGATTGACCATTGATGGTCTTGTACTTTTCTTGATTGACCACTGATGGTCTTGTACTTTTCTTGATGGACCACAGTTGGATTTCTAGTACTTTTCTTTATTCTTGATGAACCACCCTTGAATTTCCTATATTTTCCTGATTTTTCAACACCAACCTTGCATATCTATAATATAGTTTGTTAAATGCATTTAAGTCAGTATAATAATAATTAGTTATACTTATGATTGTAATTGTTATCGTTAGATTAAAGACATACAGAAATAGAAGTATAAAGAAAGGATACAATAAAAAAAATTAAACGTATGATAACTAATTCCATACGTAATAGTTCTATTTTTTTTTCAACCGTAATGTAATTTTTAAAGATTTAAAAGGGATGAAAACAACTTGATTTTTGAACTTTACTGATAAAATATGATTGTTAATCAAGTTAAAATTAAAACTGTTGAAATACATAACATTTGAAATTACACATGACAATTTGTACAATGACTAAACTGAATTGTTACATCATTTGACCTTTTGCAAAAATGTTTAATCGTGCAGTTTATAATTTACTTGTGAATTATAATTGAATATGG